GACGCTGTGCTATATCAGCCGTATATTATCAGTAAATTATTTAGAATCACAAACAACTGCCGTCCAAAACTTCATCGACAGTCGGAAATATGTTCCAGAACACAGTAATTTATTGTATCGAATATCTGACGGCGTTCTCAAGAGCTTGAGCAAACCAAGTTGATATCCCCGTGGTCGCTTCTAGGTTCTCAGACAAAGGTTGCTAATTACAGGTAAACTTCTGCGTAGTGTCTCATCACCTGATTGATGTAGCTCTGGTCGACTCCGATAGGATTAGTGGATGAAATGGTAATATGTTGTTTGTAACATGCACTGTGTTAGAATGGTGTCTTTGCTGTGAGTGGAGTCGATCGTTTCGTCCATTAGTCGTCCAGCGTGGTCAGAAACAGGTATAACGATAATAAATAGTAGTAAATGGTTATATAATTAGCACATATTATATAGACCTTAAAGGAATAGCTTGCAGACAGATAGATAATGTAACTTGATAGTCAAAAACGAATAGATGATAATAGGAACAAAAATAACGATAAAATTAGTGAAAGAAGAGACTAAGCAGTAAGAAAAGAGACAAAAGGAGAATAGCAGTGATAAAGGATGATTTTAGGAGTATACCCATGAAAAGTGTGGTCTGAGTTTCAGGGCAGTAGTTCACTTAGACATAGTCCGCTGAGAGCTGCAGGCGGAAAATGCAGTCTCTACGTCCGCTGGTAATGAGCTCCAGGAAGGGAAAACTGAAAGTGAGAAAAAATGGGGAACACCTAAGTCTTTGTTCTCTGATGTGCTATACTTCATGGGTTGACAGGAATAAACTCATGGCGATTTGACTGTGTTAACCCAGTGTAGGCTGATGGTTGAGGAGTTAATGTCGGAACTACTTTACCGCTTCAGACGAAAACGGCGTGTTTTTTTCAATTAAGACACGTGGGTGAGGTTGGTTGTCATAATAATAATAATTTATATTTCGTATAAACGTGTGAGTTTACAAGAAATGCATGTCATTTTTACTGGCACGATCAGTAATGTTACAAATTGCAATCCTGAAGTACCATAAATTAATACTTTTTCAAAAGTTTAAATTGTTCAATTATTGTACAAGCAATCAGAACAGGTGCTTATAAATGTTAAATTGTAAACCGTTTACTAAGGTCACCGTCAAAGTTGAGCGACAACCCAAACTTCGTTCCGTTTCCTGCTGTTAGTTATGGTCAACCAGTGAACAGCGTGTATCTGGCTGAGTGCGCAGCTGCGAAGTGGGATAAAATGCAATTATGAATAATACATTATTGGAAGTATATTTACGAGATAAATACAACGAGAAAAAGCTATATAGTACTTGAAATGATAGTATACATTTGCAATGTCTAAAGCTAACTATATTGGTCTAAGCATGGAAACTATCACGTTTCCGATGAAAATATACCTTCGTTCAAATATTGGTGTTGTTGTGTTTTAAATCAAAGCAACCAGACTTTGGGCAAGCAACAAATATGAACAAAGAGCAAGTTTTAGCTTTAATAATGGCCTAGGTAGTTAACACAAAGTAGAGTATAATAGCGCGTAAATAAAAAGATTATATCGAGGTAGATAAGTGATACTTAAGTGAGTAGCGAATTCAAAGATCTGGAAAATTAGAACCCGTAGGACAAGCTGACCTGTAAGAAGTTTCACGGATTTCTGTAGGGCCCAATGGATAGCATCTTGACAAGAAGCTGAAAAGGCTTGTAGATGGCAGGGGCAAAGGCAGTCTTCTTATAATTAAGATTTGTACAGCCATTGTTTTTCCCTTCTTGTTAAGGGTCCAGAGCAATGTTTAATTCTCGAGGTGTGGAAAAATTCATGTTGCTGTTCTACAGTGCTGCACTTCTGTAGTGTTACTTCAGCATGGTGACGCACTCTGACCTCGGTTTTCTGCCCTCTTGTGTACTGAGGTCGGACTGCACGGCATCGCATACCTCCACCAACTTTATTCCTGGCCTGATGCCACTACCGGAGCATTTTAGCCAATTGCTTTTGGGAGCTGAACTCGACGAGTGGTAGCTGTGGTGAGCTAATTGATGAGAGGTTAATATATACACAGGTGAATCATTAATATTCATTATTTATTTCCCACACTAGCATAATCATTGATTTCCCGCATCTGCGTGATTATTGATTTTGATTGCTGAATTCCCATGGTTTGTTAATATTTTTAAAATGTGACATTGATTTTCCTAACTGTATAAATATGGAGTTTTTGTTTAACATTTTCGACTGCTGTTAGAGACAGTAAAAGCTCTCATATCAACGTCCAGTCTTCTTTCTTTGCCTTGCGTGCCCGGCAGTATTGTTGTTGTTGTTGATGTGCGATTAGGACAGATTAGCCAGCGCATTAGTTAGATTCGCTCGTAGTCTACAAGGTCCTCATATTCTCATACATAACAGAGGTGAATAGGACTAGGCAGTCTTCAAATCGATATTGCCTCCGGAACACCAAGGGCCATCCGAGATGACATCCATTTCCATATCTGTACATTTTGCGTGTTTCTCGTAAGCGCTGCCAGCCCCCAGCTCCGGAACACCACATGTGGCCATGGAGGTGGAGTTCATCGGTTCCGGTGACTGCTTCACCTTTCGCTTGCCTGACTATGGCTTACTAGACCCCACTCGCATATTGGGGCTTCTCTCCACAGCTAGCAATTGGGACAACAATAGTGCATTCAGAGCATCTTCGGCAGAGCCCATTGTTCCCCTTAATGGGAGGCGGCTTACCTTGAATTGCCTGAGTACTCCTGTACAGTCTACAGAGCTTTACTGACTGGATCCAAGCCCCAGTTCTCTGCACAAATTAGATCACCATTCCTGATCAAACAGCACCCTTTGTTCGAGTAGATCGTTACTGCACACCAGTACATTAAGCAGGATGAGACAGTTTGGTCGGCTGACCTCGAACTGCGTTCAGTCCTTGGTTGTTTGTCCTCCTTTGTAAGGACACTGATCATACTGTGGCCCATGGTGTCGCCGCAGACTTAACGGTTGCTCCATTTCCCAGAAAACAACTTTGAGATCTTGCGATGTTTCCAGCCTTTCGTTTTAGTCTTGTTACATGTGACACATTGGCTTCTTATGGAGATGGGTGGGATATCGTGTTTGTTTGATTCGACCTGTGCAGCTTCATTACTTGATCGTGCCTGTAAAAATGGCATGCATTTTCATGAAAATTTATGTTTATATGAAAATATAAATTATTATTATTAATGGACTGCAGTAACGTGGGTGTATTAACATACCAGGAAATACGCACGTATGTGTTAAGAACCGGTGTGCGAGATGGCGTTATTTCCATCGCTTTATTTCACACCGGCGGTGATGTAACAATACTGCCGATTTGCTTGCCAATACCAATACTGACCACCGGCTACTAATGATCCCCGAAGCATATGAAAATGAAGCTAGAGATCAGGCTGGTCTGTACCGGTGGAAATGATTCGATTATATAATACAAAAGTACATCAAATACAAGTGTCACTTGCTTCGGCAGGCTGATATAATCAATAAATAATTATAACGGCTTCATTAGGCCGGACGTTCGGATTATCTAATGGCATTGTAATAAACGTCCCACATCGGCCCATTGGTTAAATTTCTCCACTCTGATTTCATCCTGCCTAAGTTTGTTTTAGCTGGCATGGGCCCGTTTAAGTCCCTTTTTTGCCGCTTCCCATCAAACTGGAGAGGAGAACACTGGGGAGTGGAAGCCAGAATGATGCAATGCATGTGAAAATGGCCTATTTAATCCTAAAACACAATTAGGAATAGGGCGGTAGAAAAGACGATAAAGCGTTGAAGCGTATTTTATATGAAGGAAGGGTAGAAGAACCTTTGAGAAGAAACGAAAAGAAAAATTACTGTCAAACCACAAATTATATTTGGAGTATTGCTGCGGAATTGGCAAAGCGAGTGAGCATACCTGGTATCTCTGAAGACACAAATCAAGCTTAAAATCTCGAATTATCGGCGCTTCAATCATGTGTGAATGGCGTATTTCCATGATTAAGGACCCCGTAGGTCGCTATAAGGCAGTTACGTGGAGGCAATCAGGGCACACAGTTGACAAAGCACCATAGAATATAGCCACTGATATTCCCGTACACACTAGCTTTCCAAACCGAACGATGTTCAAAAATACTCCTGCGCATTTGATAGAGGATGCTATCTACTCTTCACTGGCTCAGGTAGACAGGTATGTACTTGCTAAAGCGAAAAGAAGTGGGATTTGGTCCTTGACTAGTAGATAGAAAAGCTTTCCAATGAAGAATGAGATAAGGGAAATGCCTTTCTCAGAATCTAAGGAAGGTAAACTTTAGCAATTTCGGCTGCTATGTCACACTTGGAATCCAGTTTCATGATGAGAATTCCTCGGCCGGTAGTCGCAACTATAGATTTTCCTTAATATTGTAGTCGACAAATGCAAAAGAACACCTCCCGATACCATGCACTACTAATTGATCTTTATTAGTAGTCGGAAACAACTTACGCTAGACACTAGTGCTTCGTTGAAGTGCGCTTTAGTACGGTTATTAAGGGATACACGGAGGCGAAGTGTATTCCATCTAAAATATACTTCACACAAAAGGTATAAAATAAGAGTTAAAGGAAGGGCCCACTGTACTAGTGGCGCTAGACAGTGAATATATCAACGTGTGAAGTGTGATTTTCAGACCAGCCATCATGACTAAAGACGATCAAGCCAACACGAAAAGAAAGTGAAAAATAAAGATACGAGGTGAAAGTATGAACACCGGCTGAATTAAGTGAGGCCAAAGTTATATCTCTAAGTTTCGTAACCATTTTCACTCGGTTGTTTTAATTATCTTTTGTGTTCTTTGTTTCTGTGACCTGTAAAGTCCGCAAATCTCAACGTGCGTGGTTGTTGCACCGAATCGAATTTGAACGGTGTTGTTTTATATGTGAATGCGCTGCCACATATTGTTAACGTACTGATTGAGTCGCAAGTGCCAATGAAGTTATTCATCTTCATTGTAAGTTTTACCTCGATTGTGTGAGTTACTGATACACAGATTGAAATAGCGTCATTAATTTACGTTTCGCATAGCATCGGGTGCCAATTGGACAGTCTTTTTAGCGGTACACTGGACGCTGGCCAGTCGAGTTGCAGTAAAAGTTATCTGCCTGTTAAGAAGCTACACTGGACGAAGAAGAAAAGGATATTGGTAATTTATGTACATTAGATTCCTTAGTATACTAAGGAATGGTTATAGCTAAAATGTTTCTGTCTTTTTCGTCTTATGAACATTCACAATTGTCTTTTGTGCTCCATTTCTAGCTTCACTGTAATTGTTTGGTCAATCCTCGCCCTTGTTTTATGAGTGGTGGATTTTCAGGGGATGCGGGTACCCATCTTAACACAACTATATCTATAAATGACTTGCATTCTCTCGGGAGATCGACTAGACTGAAGGATAGGGAAACACTTGGGATGTGGTCTCTTGTTCATCACATATAGGCTTCATTTAACCAGCTGGTGTTTCTCAGTTTTATAATTTTCCCGACACCCTTGGAAAGTAAATGAGCATGTATTTTATCTCTTACAGTAATTCTCCATCCTGTTAATTTATTTGACTATGATTAATACTTTGCTTTCCTACTTGCTCTTTGTGCTTTGACGTTTTTATGTTGGCTATGCAGAATAGTTGCCATCGTGATCCCAGTAGCTCCAAGATTCCCCTCCTGAGGCCTAAGTAGTGTCGTACTATCGTTGAGGTCTTAAATCCATATGCGCATACACATAGGAGTGTTGCATCAATTGACAGAAGGACATGGGGTTTATTTGTGCGAGACCTAAATGCAGTAGATTTATGATGCGTAGTGATTGCATGCATTTGATTTGGGGATTTTAATTCCCATTCAGTTGAGCTATTTAGTGGCTATACCACGTTTTGGTTCGCAATATACGCGGTTACATTGTTTCTTACTTCTCAAGTTCCGGCTTGTTATCTAACTTTGAGTAGATCAACAGCAGTACGCAGGTACTGGTGCTTGTCTGTGAGTAAGTTTTGCTAGTTGAGAAGTGTTGTTCTGACGTGACTGACTCAGAGTCCGACAAGATGATATTCGCCAATTTCTCTCATGGGTCCACGTGTCTATCTACAAAAGTATTGACAATTTGGTTTTAAGCGGTACTCCACTCACCTTACCAACAGCTTTCTAGTGCCTTTCGTGGTGTAATAAAGTAGTCTTTCTTAAGTAGCTCTATAAATCATGAAGTATTCCACAGGTACAAATAATTTTTTCGCCCTATCTTAAACCTGTGTAATAACTGCCAGGGATTTGAGTCAGAGAGACATGGTTCGTAATCCCCTAAATGAATTCCGACAAGTTAATATTTTAGGGCTCTCAATATAGAAATCTTATCTGTAATTGGACAACATACCCCTAACTAGCCAAGACTGCATTTCCGGCTTCAGGTGTATGTCGCTTTCAGGATATACAGACGATTCAGACGTGGTTATATACCTAATTCCACGCAACCAACAATATCTGCCTTAGGAGTATGTGATTTTTTGACTAGTTCTTATACCCTTGGTGGTGTAGGAATATTCTTAGGTTATAAACAAGGACTTCGACTGGATCCCAACGAGCTGACACTAGTATTCTTCTGTGCGGCCGAATGAATCTTTAAGTATGAAAGATCATGAAACGTGTTTGTGAAGTTCGAATTAGGTAAGTGATGTGTTTTTCCTGGCGTTGTTGAGCTGGCTTTCGAAAGCTAAACGCTTAGAAATATTCGTTTACTGCTCATTCTAGGGAAAGGAGCCAAATCGGAAGCATATTAGGAATACCCATGGAGTATCTTGGGGATTAATTGATTTCAACCATTATTCTAAACAGTCAACCATACTTACATCCATCACAGAGAGATATTGTATCATTTCTAGAGTTGTAAAACCAGGCCAAGATAGACGTAATTCTTTTTGAAAACTGCATGGACTGTCATCATAGATAAGTTCATACATGTTTTATGCCCAGGGCTCAAAGACCTAATGGTTTATTAGCAGTGACAAATTGTTGTCTAGATTAGCTGAGATCTCAGCTGTTTTATGGGAATTCGTGGGGTTTTCATCGGACTAGTAAAGATCGTTAATCATAATACTTTATAAAATTAGAAACAAACCATGTTTTAGATTTCCAGAAGCATCAATTCGACTATTGCAGTATCTAACATTGTAGACTATTTGTGAGGTGACGATTCGGGCTCGGGAAAATAATACTGCTGAATTTACCGGAAATAATCTCGTGTAGTACCAGTAAGCGCCAGACTAAATGAAGGTGTATTGGTCACAACTATGCACTTCGACAGTTTCTAGCGCACAAACGTACGTACTAACCAGTGTCCAACCGGTGATCTGAAGATAAGTAGATGGTGACTACCTTGGGATATGTTCGCAGCCACATTAACTGACTTAATTTCTTTGCACATGCATGTCCTTGCTGATGCGAGTAACATCAACCCCAGAGGATTGATCTCTGACGAAATCTTAGCACGTATACAGTAAGCTGATTTGGCATTTGCCAACTTGCACTATCCCTGACTTGGTAGACATGATATTTGACTGACTATCGATCAAAGGATATGTTTACTATTCAGCAGCAGCTCGCTCCGTCCAGCTTTATAACTGTGAAACATGGCCATTGAAAGTAGAAGAAATGAAAAGACTGGCTAACTATCTTTAGTCTTAGGTCTCTGAGATCTGTCTCCCATGTTAGGTGGCAGGTGCAATAAGGTAACTAATATTGTGGTTAGATCTCAGTCGTATATTAGGTAAGAAGGGAAAGTCCATTGATGTTGTTGTGAATTTACATCGATTCAGATAGGTAGGATATTTGTTATGCATTTATGCCTAGCCATTACCTTCCTCGACGGGAAATATTAGCTCAGATAGGATAAGGTTGGTTGGAAAAGAGCTAGTGGTGGTCAAACTAAACCATGGAACCATTTCATGACAGTTAGTTTGAAATAGCCAACCAGACATGTAGAGAGGTGTAGACCCAATTCCTGGTTGAAGTCGTTGGGATGGTAAGAACTAATGACGGCTGGTGACAATTGATGATATGGCTGAAAATCGTTCTCAATGGGGATGGTCTTTGTGATTTGTCATATCCACCCAGTAAGACTCTACTGTTCCTCCATATCATTATTCTTTTTCCATCACTAACACTTGTGTTTATTTTTCTTTCGAACCTCTCTTAACTCTCTTACACTGTGTGCTACAAGGAGGGAGTGTGGCAAGTTGAACTGGTACACATCTGTGCAAAGTTCCATTGTTGAAACTAGTTAGTTAGTCTTTCGTGTCTTCATCGAGCGCCAAAGTGAGTGAGAGGTATGAAATGTTACCCCACATCAGCGTGAGTGTTAATGCATCTGGCAATCAACTACACCTATTGTATGGATGAGGATGAAGAATTCTACATGGTAGTTCAAATCTCGTTGGATGAAATACCCAATGCCCAATTCAATAAGAGTGTTTCAAAATATCCTACAACTGAAATAAATAGCCTCTTCATGTTATCCTAATTCATCAATGTGTTTCTGTGATGAATTACTACGGGACTCGGGAACTTTTTATAGATAGTCGAAGAAAATCAATCATTTTTTACACCTATCCGCAGATTTACTCAGCAACCCGCCAATTAACACAAACGGGATTTTTCAAATTTATATAAACACAACCAGTCCAACTCACTTGTGATTTAAGCAGTCTAACTTCAATGCACTTTCTTATTTCACTTCTGATAACGGCGGTTAAGAATAGTATCACTCAATAATAACTTTTCAAATGTTTAAATTTCATAAGGCGCTATGAAAATAAGCCAAATGGGATTGAGATACGTCAACTTAGTTTAATTATCTGTGTGATATTTATGCATTAAAAGCTTTAATCAACCTCATTCAACAGCTATTTGATGACAATGCCCTGTGTCAAGTGATTCACAAGAGAAAACTCAGCAGAGCCTTTAAAGTAAAGATAGGAGAAAGATAAGATTGTTTACTCCCACCTATGATACATTCTTAAATGTGGTGGGATGAATTACGGAACAGTTAGTGGAGAGCGAAAAGACAGGAATGCATTGGACCTATAGGAAAACTCTAGGATTTCTGGATTTCTTGAATGATTTATGTTTAATATCACACAAACTCGAAGACTTACGGGCGGAAACTAACAGGTTGACAGGAGAATCAGCAAAGACAGGAATTCAAGTATAGATAGAGAAGACGAAAGTAATGAAGATGACCAGCCAACCAACTAACCACCATAAGCACCATTCACTACCAACTAAAGAAATTTGAAAATGGCAACTTCCTTCACTTATTAAGGAAGCATCGTTTCAACTAAAAACGACAGTGCAGACCAGGATTTCAAAAATAGCAGTGATCAGAAAGGCAAAACAGACCTTATCACTCTGAAATCGGTTTGGAAATCTTTCTCACTCAGCATAAGGAACAAGATTTACATCTTCATCACTAGGGCTAAGTCAATTCTTCTGTATAAATCAGATACTTTTCGCCTCCTAAAAAGCATTTCGAATAGGCGGCTGCAGACTTTCATCAACAGGTATCCTCGCTCCACACTGAAGATTAGATGGCCGGTCAGAAAGGATTATCAACAAGAAACTCTCGGAACAAACCAACCAAGAACCTGTTACCCAACAAAAAGACCGTTCAGCGACATCAAGCTCCAGGCCATCTCCCGAGTGGAACTCGAATGGAAAATGGCGAGTTGTGCGTGGGTCCAGGGGCGACATGGAGAGGATTGTGTAAGGAAGATATGAGGGTGTATAAGAAATCGTGGAGCCGGCTAAAGAAGACTACAGAGAACATGATAAAATGGGAATGTACTGTTGAAGTCCTATGTTCCACTAGGGGAACAATAATGACTAATAAGTAATATACAAAGTTTTATAATAATACCACTGTAACAATTCAATTTCAAAATCTTATATTCTTCTCTTTATTCTTAATTTCACAGATAACAGGAGGTGCCGGTTTCGTTGGTTCGCATTTAGTGGATAGACTGATGCAAGATGGTCATGAAGTTATTGCTTTGGACAATTTTGTCACTGGTAAACGACAGAATATTGAACAGTGGATTGGACATAGTAACTTTGAACTGTTACATCATGACGTGACAAATCCCTTATATGTGGAAGGTAATAATCTTTTTTTGTGGTTTGTATATATATGTGTGTATAGACTGAGCGAAGAAATATTGCCTTCTCAATTAGATCCTCATCTTTGGCTCTACTCTAATATATATGATGTATAGCATTTTTAATACAATACACAACGTTTTACCAGTCAAGTGGTGATATTTTTGTTAAGAATAATTGGTCAGTATCAGCATGTCACAGCAGGAGTGCGTCGGTGGCACAGCGGTTAGGGCTCTCGCCGAGCATGTACATGGTCCGAGGTTCGATCCCCCGCCGACGCACACCTGATATCTATGGTCGGCCTGCTAAATTTGGGCTACCGATATCACATGCTGAAAATTCCATACTTGTACCAAAATACTATGTGGAATCAAGCTATAATAAAATTAATTTAAATTAAACAAGAAAGTTAGTACAAACAATTAAAGGGTGAAAATGTTTACAACAATTGGATTGCATAATGCATAATTTTGCAAAAAGAGAAGGGCAACTAAGGGATAAGCGAGCGTTCAAGGAATTCCATATTAGTTTGTTTATTAGGTATATCACACAGTGAAACAGTATTATTTACTGGATGACGTTTCGAACAAAATTTATCATTGTTCATAATCATATCAATCGTGATCACACGACTTTGACACTTGAGTTTTATAGTTTTCTTTGTTCTCTCCTATTTGTCGTATGGGTAGTAGAATTTTCCAGATATCGGGGACAGGTGATGCATCATTCCTATTACATGTATTTGCAGTTGATTCGATAAACAAAGCTTCTGTTATCAATCTCTCCCTACACCCTGTGACATTAGATTTTAAAACTGTCATCCTATCCCATCCTATTGTATGGTTGTGTGTGACTGCATGTAGTGCTATAGCTGAACTATTCTCTAGATGTTTTATCTTATTCGGGTCCACCAATCTAGATTTTGCTAAGTTTTTACGTTCAGCTAGTCTGACTGCCCCTGTTCTACTAGTTTGACCTATGTATTTGACCTGACAATCATTGCAGGGTATTAGATAAACTAAATTGTTTTGTTTTAAAGGCTCTACAGGATCCTTTAACCGACAAAGCTTGTTTCTAATTGAGTTTGTGGGTTTGAATGCCGTTTTTATTCCTGCCTTGTTAAGAATTCTGCGTAAGGCTTTCGAGGTTCCTTCCTTGTATGGAATTACTACTGATGATTTAGATTTCTTATTGTTGGTATCGTTATTAATATTATTATTATCATTATTATTGTTATCATTATAATTGTTATTATCACTAACGCTACTATCATTATTTATTTTATTTTTACATTTCCTTACATATTTCCTGAATAATTTATCCGGGTAATTATTAAGTTTCAAGGCTTCTTTATGTGTATCAGTTCCTGTTTTAGATTTTCTTTGGTACTGCTTAATTTTTGTGCTCTGGCCTTTAAACATTTCACCAATCCTATTTTTACTGACATAGGATGGGATGATCGGAAGTCCGATAATATTAATAACAACACCAACAATAAGAAATCTAAATCATCAGTAGTAATTCCATACAAGGAAGGAACCTCGGAAGCCTTACGCAGAATTCTTAACAAGGCAGGAATTAAAGTGGAATTCAAACCCACAAACTCAATTAGAAACAAGCTTTGTCGGTTAAAGGATCCTGTAGAGCCTTTAAAACAAAACAATTTAGTTTATCTAATACCCTGCAATGATTGTCAGGTCAAATACATAGGTCAAACTAGTAGAACAGGGGCAGTCAGACTAGCTGAACGTAAAAACTTAGCAAAATCTAGATTGGTGGACCCGAATAAGATAAAACATCTAGAGAATAGTTCAGCTATAGCACTACATGCAGTCACACACAACCATACAATAGGATGGGATAGGATGACAGTTTTAAAATCTAATGTCACAGGGTGTAGGGAGAGATTGATAACAGAAGCTTTGTTTATCGAATCAACTGCAAATACATGTAATAGGAATGATGCATCACCTGTCCCCGATATCTGGAAAATTCTACTACCCATACGACAAATAGGAGAGAACAAAGAAAACTATAAAACTCAAGTGTCAAAGTCGTGTGATCACGATTGATATGATTATGAACAATGATAAATTTTGTTCGAAACGTCATCCAGTAAATAATACTGTTTCACTGTGTGATATACCTAATAAACAAACTAATATGGAATTACTCACTACCACAGTGCCCAAGTTTTACACATATATTAATATGAGCGTTCAAGGAAATTGTGTAATAGGCAATTAAATAAAAATAAAACGATTTAGACAATGACAACTTGTAATTAAAGATAAAGTAGTCAGAAAAATAATAAAATAATTTGAACAGTTGTAATTTTTAAAGTGCTGAGCGGGAGGGAAAAGTAGTCAAGTTTATACATTCATGTAACCATAGCCAAGGTAAGAAAAGTGGCTGTACGAATTTCCTCAGAACACACGGGTGTGGCTTCTTCAGGTGGATTCCTATGGCTTCAACTGTTGTATGTAGTAGACGAACACGTAAAGCAAAATTAAGATTAGTGGGAATGAGATAAATAACTTTAAATGCTGTATTGACATCAACTTTATGCTCACTGTCTACAAGGTGTGCTAAACCAGAGCTAAGAACAAGTCTTATTTGTTCCTTGCTTAACCAAACAGGATAGTGTTCGGAAATACGATAATGAGTGTATAAACCTAACTGATTTACTCTCCCCCTAAGGCTTTTGACAACTATAATTATTTTGTTACTTTTCTGACTACATTTTTAATTACAAGTTATATATATATATATATATATATATATATATATATATATATATTAATATAAGGCAATGAATTCATGAGGTAGTCAGCAGAGCAAGGTAAGGGAGAATGTGAAGTAGCAAAAGGACGAGTTTTGGTGTTTACCCATTAATAGTGTGTGTAAGTTTTAAAGTTATAGACCGTTCGGTGGACGCAGTCCTTGTGTCGTAGCATGATTGTCCAGCCTCCGCCCAAAGCTTTCGAAGGACGGCACGGTAGCTGCATCTGCTGGTAGAGAGTTCCAGGGGCTAAGAGTAAGACAAAGGAAAAAGTGATGTAGAATACCTTTGTCTGAGTGACTCTGGTCATCTGTAATCTTGTAGGTAGTAATTAGGTCACCCCTTAGTTAACGGTAATTAATTGTAAAAAAAAATTCATTTCTTCAACCCTTCATCACATAATTCATTACGCAGACTTATCGCAGCTCTCGAATCCCGTCTTTATCCCTTTCCAAAAGATTGGCCTCCATTCTAAGTAACACCGAGGGGGGTGGGACAATGGTACTTACTTTGGGAAAAAGCTTAAGAGTGAGCGTACCGAACTGTCTATGCGTAAAGTGTATAATCGCATATGCCCTCGCTACATCACCTGTGTAATTCACACTTGTGTTCATCTTTTCCGTTAGAACGCGACCCAAGTAGCTCAGGGAGTGTGACTTATGCTCTGCGGCCCATGGGTATATAGTTGCGCTACTTTGCACTGTTTCAGGTCATAAAATTGACCAGTGCCCCCAGTCCTCCAGAAGTTTCAAGTCTCCATTCAGCCTATATGAGTCTTTCAAATCTCTACGTCGTCAGCGCAAGAGCCTGGCAGTTCGGAGACCATGGTAGTTCATTGATAAAAAATGAAACTATTGTCATTGCTTCAGAACTGATTTATCTTATATCTTGGTCAGATTTCACTGCCGAAGTATTTTATTACTTTTTATCCAGTAAAAGTTGCCCTGGATGCAGAAATACATAAGACATTAGCCAGTTGGCGTGATATCTAAGTTACGACTCCATGAGATGACACAAGAGCACCACCAGTTAGCACATATTGGTGCAACCATAACGACCGACCTCTTGACACTAAGCATGTTATCGACCAGGCATGAGACGGGCGAAAGGATGAAGATGTCAAAGCAGGCCAGAATTGGGGAGGCAAGATACGCCTTCATCAATCTGAAACCAGTTTGGAAATCTTATACACTCAGCATAAGGAACATGATTCGGATTTTCAACACCAACGTCAAGTCGGTCCTTCTATACGGGTCAGAAACTTGGCGTGCACATCACGAAAAGCATTTCCAACAGATTGCGGACTTTCATCAACAGCTTCCCCTTTCACTGGCTCCATACTGGAGATCAAATGGCCGGCCAGAAAGATTTAGTAACAAGAAACTCTGGCTGGGACCAAACCAACCAAGAACCGATTGCTCAACAAATATGTAGGAGAAAGTGGAGATGGATCGGGCATACATTGAGGACACCGTCGAATGACATCGCGCTCAATGCAGGTCATCGCTGGAGTGGAGTCCAAATGAGAAGTGACGAGTGGGTCGTCGGTGTGAGGGTGACATGGAGGAGATCGTGCGAAGAGGAGATGAGAGATTGTTGTCAATCGTGGCCCCAGCTGAAGAGGACGGCAGAAAACAGAACAAAGAGGAGATGTGTTGTTGAAGCCCTGTGTTGCGCTCAGAACCTAGGAGAACAATAATAATATAATAATTCTTTATCTTAAATTATAAATCACAATGATGATAGAGAATTGAGATGTGATGAATTGTGTATGTGTGGTACATTTCTTCTCCTCTTTTTTGTCTCTTTCACAGTGAATGAAATATATCATTTGGCTTCACCAGCATCCCCGCAGCATTACATGCAAAATCCTATACGTACCATCAAGGCAAATACATTAGGTACTCTAAATATGCTGGGTAAGTTGATCTTCTGAAGAAGATAAAAACTAATCACGGTTTTAAAGTTAAACACTTACTTTATTCATGTTCTTTCACAAGCTCTTTATTTTTGAAGATAATTTATGTTTTTCATTATAATGAAGTATTGTTCCCTTGGTCTCTCAATGGAATACTGGGCTTTCATAGCACATATCTCTATGCTTTCATTAACATCCTATTTTTCTGATGGACGTCGACTTCTTGCATGGATGCTTCGACGATGTCTGGGCATGCTAATTGGTGGGTGGTGACTAGCAGTGTAATCCATGATACTCATTTCGTCCCATTCGGGACTCCTCATCTGGAGTCACCTGCATTCCGCAGTAAGTGATGAAGTCCCCACCAAGGCCCATAGTTTCAAACACCAAAGCGTTATCCACTGGACCACGAGACCCACCTCTTGTGCAACGGGTCATATTAATTATTTAATTCATTTTCAGATTTTCCCGTTGAATGCAGGTAGATCCAGATGACGAGTCCTAAATCGGACGGAATACGCATCCTGGATTCCACTGCTAGTCACCATCCACCAATTATCTTTTCTGAATTATTTGTTTTTATTTTACAATTTTAATGCGTGTTTCCACTGTTGAGGAGTATTCTCGTGACTATAGTGGTAGTTGAGAACTATTTGAGTTATGAACAATAATGCACATGTTGCACGCTACGGGATAACTGTTGTTTAATTGTATGCATACATACAATAAGAAATTTAAAAAATGTTCAACACTTTGGTAGATTGTTTAAAATGATGAAATATCAAGTAAATTATTAACAAAGACCACTATTAATTGTTAAGGTCATTCTCTTTCTTTTCTTCTTATTTTCTAATAATAATGCTCTAGGCTGTTTGTTTTATTTATGTAATTCGGTTGCCTAGTTCCGGCTTTTTTGTTTACTAAGGTACGCAAAAGAAGAATAGATAACTAGACAGTTTTGCCACACACTTATCTTCGTTTATTAGCTCAACTGTGCTCCTGTAGAGACAGTTATGTTGAGGGTACTATGTACTAGACAATTTAGCTAACCAAACATGTTAAGGAACATCTCCCATCGTGGTTTTGCAAATACTAGACAAAAACCATCCGTAGATCAAATTTGTCACATTTAGTTGATAGTGGTCATGTAACGGACAAAGCGAAAGCATTCAATGTGATTCATTGCATCCTACCGAATCTTTCCAATAGACTTCGTATTCGTCTACTGCAAATAGCTGAGGTGATAGGCATTCGAACAATTATTAAGGGTAAACTATGCATTCAAAAGAAGTTCGAACAGCCGTTATCCCTCCCTTGTCAGCCTATTAAGACCTAATCAATTGATGACGTCTCCAACATCCTCTACCTAAATTTTCAATCTCCCTCTTATCGTCCCTTAATCTTATCACACCTTCATTAAAACATATTTTATTTGCCTCCCTTACAATCCATCAGTACTTAATCGGTTCATTTGTTTTCTTAGCCTTTATCGACTAATATGTCTATCTGAACATTTGTTTGCTTAATCATGCTGCTTTCTTCATTATTCTTGTTATCAAAGATCGCCACGCTTTTTCATGCTTGTTAGTGATGGAATCATCATTATGAGAGAGAGCCAGACAGACTTTAGATCAGGGAGAGGGTGTATTGATCATATCTTCACCCTTCGACAGATTCTAGAACATATTCATTCCTACCGGCGTCCAACAATCGTCATATTTCTTGACCAAAAGGCGTCATTCGATTCTGTCGACCGAGAGGTTCTCTAGCGATGCTTGACTGTAAAGGGAATGCCGAGAAAATACATTGCACTGATCAAGGCACTCTACTCGAACTCATGCAGCCAGGTGAGGGCTTACAGCGAGTTATCATCTGAAGTGGTGACGACTAGTGATGTCAGTCAGGGATGCGCACTATCCCCATTCCTATTCAATTTCATCATAGATGTACTAATGGACTTAACCCTAACTCACTTCAGCCACTCAGGGATTGACTTGCTACCAGGGAATAATCTCGTCGACTTAGAATATGCAGATGATATAGTCCTTCTAGGCGAGGACGCTGACAAAATGCAGAGTCTTCTGAACACCTTGAGCTGCAATCTACGGATGTTTGGCATGCGATTCGCTCCCGCCAAATGCAAGATGATGTTACAGGACTGGACTACACTGACTCCTAGTTTAGAAATAGGGAGTGAAGCGGTAGAGCACGTTGACCACTTCACTTATTTGGGAAGTACCATCAGCCCCAAAGGGTTGATTTCTGAAGAAATCTCAGCACGGATGCAGAGGGCTAGGTTCGCATATGCCAGTTTACGCCGTCTCTGGCTTAGTAGATGTGATATCCGGCTGGCTATCGACCATCAGTCCGCTCCGTCCTCCTTTATGGCTGTGAGACCTGGCCATTGAGAGTGGAAGACATGGAAAGACTAGCTATCTTTGATCATAGGTGCCTACGTTCTATCTCCCGTGTGAAGTGGTATAGTAAGGTGAGCAATATTGAGGTTAGGCGTCGAGTGCTAGGTGAGGAGGGAGGAGAAACCTATCGACGAGGCTGTGAAGCTATATCGACTGAGATGGTTAGGACATGTGTTACGTATGCCTAATCATCGCCTTCCTCGACGGGCAATGTTAGCTGATATAGGGCCAGACTGGAAAAGAGCTAGTGGCGGTCAAACGAAAACATGACACCAGTCAATGAAATCCACAACAGTTCGTCTAAGCCACGTAGGAAGGTGAAGACTTCCTGGTTGGGGTCCTCCGGACGGTAAAAACCAATGGTTGGGGACAATTGGTGACATGGCTCAAAATCGTTCTCAGTGGCGCAGTTGCATCCACTCCTTGTGACTTATGATTTCCAATGAAACTGTTTTGTTCTTCGTTATTACTATTCCTTTGTCTCACACCTCTGTTTACTGTCTCTATTGTGTATTTCTTTTACTTTCTTCTCTTGCTTTGTGTACTACAAAGAGGGAGTGTGGCGACTTGAACTGCCGCACATATGTTCAAAGTTTTATGTCGAAAACAGACAGACAAACATTTTAAGAAGTTTCTGTTACTGTTAATGCCAGTAAAAAATTTGAGCATTGTGGAATAGATCAAATAATAATAATAATTTTTGGTTTATTCTAAAAACAGTACTAATGATACAGCAAGGAATTTTCAGCATTCAGTACAATTTTGCATCTAATTTGCTCAAAACAACAAAAAAAGTAAACATTACACAATAATAATAACAAAACGTTGTTATAGCAGCTATGTAGCAATTACAGTATGCGATAAGGAGAAAAATATGCACTAAGTATAAAATTGTAGTAATAATAGTAATAACAACTAAAGTAAAATAGCTAAGTTATAAATTAAACGTTAGAAAGGGTGACACCATAAAATTACAAAAAGATGAACGATGAAAGGGTCGATTCACTTTGCTAATTACAAAGTACATTATATGTTTCACATCTAACAGTGTCTCCATCACATAAAATACGGGCTAAATAGGGTATTGTAGAATTTTTGTACCTAGTGGTGCGAGCACATAACTTTTTATATTGACTTCTCGTCCTACCTGTTGAAATGCAAGGGGATAGTTGTGAATAAAGGGGGTGCAGGTGGTCTGACAGTATATAAAGTATAATTATATTTCAATAGTTTACACACAATGATAAGTTTCTGTATCTTGGTAATATTTCGAGCGAAATTACTACTGCTCGTGTTCACACCAACTGTTCGAATTGTTTTGTTTTTTAATTCACACATTTATGATTTGTACTTATTTATATAGTTCATTTTTTTGTTCATTCATTTTTGTGTATTCCAGGTTGTTGACAGCTGTGCTGAGTCACCTTTGTTACATGTATTTGGTGTGACCTTAATGAGAGTATAGATTCTGTTATAAACTTCCCTTTCCATTTGTTCATACTAACTTCTCTGTTACTGCTTTGTGTTGACAGTCAATTTTTTAAGAGTCACATTTAATATGGAAAATAAAAATAAATTTTCAAATACATTGATGCAAGATAAGTTGTGACTAACTGACTGACTGGTTTCAACATGGAACTTTGTACCGATGTGCAGCAGTTCAAGTTGCCACACTTCACTCAGCACACAAAGCCAGAGAAGAAGAAGAAGAAAGTAAAAAGAAACGCAAAATACAGACAGTAAACAGAGATATGAGGCAAAATGAATGGTAATAACGAAGAACAATATGGTTTTATTGAGTATTCTAAGTCACAAAGAGTGGATGCGTCTGCGCCAGTCATTAAGAACGATTTTGAGCCATATCACCAATTGCCTCCAACCATTGGTGTTTACCGTCCTGAGGATCCCAACCAGGTAGTCTACATCTTCCTACGTGACTGGCTTAAACTAACTTGTGGATTTCATTGACTGATGAAGCCATGTTCTGGTTTGACCACCACTGGCTGTAAGTAGTGTTTTTCATTCAACAAGATTCAAGATATTACCTTGTTGATAGTGACTAGCGCAGATGTGATTCCCCATTGGCTGGCTATTAATCAAAGAAGGTGTGTGTACTGCACAGCAGCAGTTCACTCTGTCCTCCTTTATGGTTGTCGGTGAGATGTCGCCATTGAAAATGGAAGACATGAAAAGACCGGCTAGCTGTCTTTAATCATAGATGTCTGCATCCTATCTCCCGTCTTAGGTGGTAGGTGTAATGGAGTGAGTAATATTGCGGTTCGGCTCCAGTCGAGTGTTAGGTAAGGAAAGAAAATCAATCGATGTGGTTGTGAAGGTTAATCAATTGTGATGGCTAGGATATGTTACGGAAACCTCGACGGGAAATGTTAGCTGTCATAGGATTAGGTTAGGAAAGAGCTGTTGGTGGTGGTCAAATGAAAAGATGGAATCAGTTCATGAAATCTTTGTCAGTTAGTTTGTGGTTGTCGGGATTCTAAAAGAAATAATGACTCGAGACATTTAGTGATATGGCTCAAAATCATCCTCGTTGATGGCAGAAATGCATTCACTCTTTGCGATTCGCCATATCCATCCATTAAAATTTCTGTCCTTCCATATCACTATTCTTTTTTCCTCACTGGTGTTTATTATCTCTCTTTTGAACCTCTCTTAACTCTCTTCTCTTGCTTTGTGTGCTACAAGGAGGGGGTGTGGCAAGTCGAACTGGTGCACATCTCTACAAAGTTCTATGTTGGAACCAGTCAGTCAGTCTTTATGGAGCCAACGAAGCAGCTGTTGACAAAAGTCTGCAATAGTTTGTTAAAAATCTTTTTCGTGGTGAGCAGTGCAAGTTTCTGACCCATATGAAAGAACTAACCGACTTAACATTGGTATTGAATGTCTGAGTCTTGTCCTCTATGCTTAATGTAGCGAATTCCCGAACTGATTTCAGAGTGATGAAGGCACACAGATAGAGGTGACAATTACCCACGCCTTCCGTGGGCAGATATCACTCACCACTCATAGATCATCTATTGATTGAAATTAATCCTTATTTGTTGTCACAATATTCATGTGTTTTGGTATATGTATTTAACCTTAAAAGGGAATTGTGTAAGTGACAATGTTTCAGATGACGAGTCCTTCTTCTAGTGAAATGTGTGAATTCATTAAATACTGTTTTTTCATCACTTTAAGATGAAGGGTGAATTAATTGAATGTGTTGATCATTCCTCTTTCTTGGAGAGTTCCTTCAAATGAAATACGTTATGACTACTGACGAAATCTGAGTTTGAAATGCCCCTTTTTAAAATGTATATAACTTCAATACTGTTTTTTGTTTTGTAGGATTGGCTCGTCGTACTCATTCGAAGTTTTTATTTGCTTCGACTTCCGAAGTGTATGGAGGTTAGTTTAAAGCTTTTTGAAATTAATACCATTGAGTTTGACTGGTTACAGAACGGAGTTTCCTGGAGTTCTAGTGAGAAGTCGTGATCAGTAGGGTTCATCCAGTTGGGAATGAAGATGGATTTCCCGACGGTGACATTAGTTGGTGGTCGCGCTAAAATCATGAAATGGTAGAAGTTAGAATTCATGGGCCATTGAATCGGGCCCCAGTGGCCGAAAGGTCCTGGATTTGAAACCCAATGGGTGCGTACTGCCGATGAACCCCAAACGAGGATGAAACAGCTGTCCAGTAGTCCAGTGCTGGTTTTCAATGGTTCTCTTACTGATATCAATCCGTAGTCTACCCTACAAACTAATTCTTGAAAATTATTATTATTTATTATAATTTATACCCTTCATTCGATTATTCTTTCAGTACTACTACCGAACTTTCCATTTATACTATTCGAACCTATAATCTCTTTTATCAATATATGCCCCCATTTCACATATCGGTTGTTTCATAATGTAGTATTCATCACAGTCTTACCATCTTCTCTTTAATGCATACTGTCTCTGTGTACTAGACCCACTCACGTGTGACACCTTTTATTATAAACTTGAACTAACTTGTCAATTTTCCTTACTCCTTACTTATATTTTCAACCCCTCTCTTATCATTCATTCTAATAAAGGTTTTTTGTATTTCCCAATGAATAAAAAACAAATCAATATTAGTGATTTTTTACTGACGTATCGCTATTTAATGCTTCTAATAGCCTTATCAAAGTAGTAATATTAAACCAGAATTCACAAAATCTCAGCTTATATATAACAACTTAAACGTCGTTCCTCAGCATAGGGTCATTTTTCATTGTCAAATTGGCCAATTGGTAAAGATAACAAAACCAAGTGTAGATTGTTGGATTTGATAAGTGTAAAATTATAAAGTCAGTGTTTGCTTACATAATGAAATTGCTTATCATCCCTTAATCTTATCACATCTTCATTAAAAACGTGTTTCATTTACTCTCCTTATAGTCTAGCATTATTCAATCGGTTCATTTGTTTTTCTTAGCCTTTATCGACTACCATGTCTACCTAAACATTTGTTTGTTTAATCATGCTGTTTTTCGTTATTCGTGTTGTCACAGTTCGCCTCACTTTTTCATCCTTATTATTGATAGAACCATTATTATTATTATTATTATTATTATTATTATTATTATTATTATTATTATTATTATGGCTAATTGCACAATTTATATGCACCATATTATATTTGAATTTTTATTTGTAAAGTTATGTAGGTATATTAGAGTGAAGCCTTATGAGATCTAATTGAAAGCACAATATTGTTCGCCCAAGTGTGTTGTTCTAAATTTTGCCCTACATTGTATGAATCCATTATGACTAGTCACTGCAATCATCGTCTTGCAATATTTTGTAATTGAATTCAACCCATCACATCTGACGCATAAATACTACTATTTATTTTGCATGGATTGTTATCAGTTAGAGAGATACTTTGAAAACCATGGAGAATAGCTCCCTTTATGAATTTCAACAAAACAATAAGCAAATGTAACTTATCTGAATCGTGTAATGTGTATTCGCGCAATATATAATTCCAGCCATTTGATCACACACACACACACATACACGCATCCTTGTCATAAGAATCTGCATAAAATAATAATAAAGCGTTTGAGGGGTGAGAGAATAAAACACAAGTGAAATGTTTAGGGCCTGAATTAAAGGCCAATAAAACAGTTGGAGATCAATAAGTCAACGAAGGCAGACACTTAGCACACGTGTGTATCCTGGTATCTAAACTATATTCACCAAATTCCATATTAGTTTGTTTATTAAATGTATCACACAGTGAAACAGTATTATTTACTGGATGACAAGGTTTCGAATACATTTCATTGTTCATAATCATGTCAATTATGGTCACACGACTTCAAAACTTGACATTTATAGTTTTCTTTGTTCTCTCCTATTTGTCATCGTTGGGATAGTAGAATTTTCCAGATGTCCAACTGGACAGGTGTTGAATCATTCCTATTACATGTATTTGCAGTTGATTCGATAAACAAAGCTTCCGTTGTCAATCTCTCCCTCCACCCTGTAGTTATATTAGATTTTAAAACTGTCATCTTATCCCATCCAATTTGTGTGGTTGTGTGTAATTGCATGTATAGAGTAGTATAACTGATCTATTCTCTAGATTTCTTATCTCATTCGGATCAACTAATCTAGATTTCGCTGCTAAGTTTTTATGCTCGGCTAGTCTGACTGCACCTATCCTACTACTCTGATCTAAGTATTTGACCTGACAGGATATTACCATATTCTCCATCACACGCAAATTTACTTATTTTAATGTGAATAGATTAGTTCTATGAAATGCGGCATCTTGAACTCATTCGTCGGTCAATCATCTTTTATCATACCAGAAACAATATGAATGTTCTTTTATCACATATGTGTAAAATATTGTAAGCTACGAAGTGATAATTATTTATTTGGCGAACCAGGAAAGTACTGGATAGCTGTTTTACCCTAGTTTGAAACTATTCAGCGGTACACACCCACCGAGGTTTAAACCCAGGATCTACCGGGGCTCTTTGGTTTCCCACTAGTTCTCCATCTGATATCAGCTCATGATCAAACCTGTAGCCAATCAAATCAGTACAAACCGATACTTTTTATTTGTTTAAACACGAACTCAGTGCGGCGAGGGGGGGGGAGATTCGCTGTAATTTTTGTGAAGGTTATGCTACTGTCTTGAGGTCTAAACCAAGGCGCACGTGATTGTCTTAAGAGCTTACTTTCCGAATCTTTGATTTGATGTCTTATTCGCCTGGTAGCAGAGCAACGTCAGGAGTTGCGTTCTCATGTTTACCAGTCCATTCACCATCCATTTATTCCGCATTCTAGAGTCCATATTCATCAGAGTTTTGCAGTCGGTATTTTTCAACTCTCCTAAGTGGACGTACATGTCCAACAGTCCCATGATAAGCTCTAAAATTATAAAGTAATTCCAACGCAGACGCAACGTTTATTTTGTTAACTCAGTGTTTGTATCCTTATTTTTGTGCGAGTGGAGGTATTTAAAAGGAACTTACAAATGGAAAGCATTAAAATGAGAGGAATCCTAAGAACTTAAATATTACAGTTTCAACTATGTGACGTAATCTTTCATTATATATATAGCTATACTCCAGTATTGACTCTTCCTACTTTTAGATCCTGAAGTTCATCCTCAACCTGAATCATACTGGGGTCATGTGAATCCTATTGGACCAAGAGCTTCTTATGATGAAAGTAAACGACTTGGTGAGACTATGACTTATGCTTATGCAAGATATGTAAGTTGAAATACCTTTGCTTGTTGCATTTTTGAACAATCAGTTTTATATGATATTGCCACTTTTATATTTATTCATTACGTTAAAGTAGCTTAAAAATCTGCATTGAGTCATATGAAAAAGAGCAGAAGATGTTCAGCGAAGAGACTCTTTTCGACGAATTCATTCACATAGCTGTACAAGCGCATTTATATATAAGTATTTTTGTGTGTGTACATGAGGTTTGTCAAGTTCAGATAACTAGTTACGTAATACAAGATTGATCTAATATAGAAACAAGGTTAATTAGACAGAAACGAAAGTAAGATTGAGTTAGTACGTCGTGATTTTAGCGCAAACGGTACCAGCCAATGCTATCGACTAGTATTCGTCTTCACTGCTGACCAGGTGGACCCCAGTGGTCACAACTCACTAGAACTATATATATATATATATATATATACAGCGCGACTGCTAGGCAGTGTCATGGGCCATTAGATCGCGTCTCATCGGCTGAATGGTCTACAAGGTCATCTTGTAACTGGAAGGTCCTGAGTTCAAACCCCGGTGGATGCGTACTGCTGCAGAATCCCAAACCAGAATAAAACAGTTTTCCAGTACTCTCAGGTTTTCAAAGAGTTATTGTCGTCACTCACTGAAGTTCCTCTAAAACACTCATTGTCCAGTCTTACGAAATGTCAGTTGTTGTGAATTGAATAACTTCTCTGTAACGTGTTTGACACCATCGTCATTGGCTGAAACACTCGATTCTCAACCAATGGGCCTTGAGTATAAATCCAGCACTCCATCTGCTGTGGGTGAGGTACATTGGTTGTATGTCATCAACTGGTGCACAATAAGTGTAGTTGAGAGCTTGGTAGATACCTATTCCAGGTATAATAATGTTCCAATGAACGTGTATCACTTTGGCAGTTTGTGAGCCATATCTATTTGTCTGTCCCACATCACGAATCGCAGTTGTAATCTTGACACGCTTATGAGACAAGCTGTGTTCTCCTGTCAAATGCATCTAGACAATGTTCTATGGGTACTGCCTAGGTACTTAGCTTCACATGAGCAAGTGAATTAATAAATGCACATTGAAGTTACCAACAATGGGATCTTCTCTGTGCCCCATTTTAAATTCTTTGTTCTGTTGTTTCCTCTCAATTATTCCTAAATGATTATTCATCACTTAACTAATTAGTTGTCAACCCCCCCTGGATTACGTAAGACTATTCACTATTTTCTTACATCTTGTTACTTCTCATATACACTTTGATTTCTTTTTGTTACTGCCAACTGACAATAACCTCTGACTTTTGTTGCCAATTAACATTTTTCCGTCAAAACTATGTACAGCTTCGAAGAGAAGTTACGTAAAGAGAACTCTGTGCTGACTTATGTTTCCTTAATTCATATCACAGAAACCTAAACCTAGCATCATCGTTCATGATGTCTTTGACAGTTGATTCGAGCCAACCACGTTGGGAGGGGTGTAGTCTGCTTGACTGACTGGCTGGAGACAATTGGTAATATGGTTCGAAATCATTCTCAATGGCACAGATACACTCACTCACTCACTCTTCGTGATCCTCATGTTGCTATTCTTTCTCCCTCACATCTCTGTTTATTATAGTTATTTTGAGTCTCGTTTTCTATCTCATGTTCGTTACATGAAATATGGTGACTCGAACTATGTTGCACTTCTGAGCTAATTTATTCTGTATTCAAACTCAATCAGTCATGGAAACGGTTTGCATACCTTGAAAACTCGTTTTTTCTCTCTCTGTAGAGTTCATTAACTGTTGATTTGATTAATTTTGAGCTGGATGTCGTGAAAAACTGACATCAGTTAAGGAACACCGGTGAAATAAAGAGCATTAAAGAGCTGTTTTTTCATAGTTTTAGGACATCCTAACATTACTGACTTACAACTGACCATATGTGAATTAGCGTCAACAATAATCAATAGTTCTCTTTAAGCGATTTCATTTTGTAACGAAATCTCTTGTTTAAAAGCATTTTCCGTAACACCGTTTTCATTTCCCAAACGATGTATAAGGATTGATGCCGCTGGTAGAGTGGGATTTGAATGGGGAACCCTTAAGCCGATGCCCCACACCACCGATTGTGATGATGATATATCTGCCTTTGGATCAAGATATTTAGCCTTTAATTCTATGTCAGTCATTTTCTAATCCCTTGAACGAATCGATTAAGGGTTCAGACTGCAGTGCTTCTGAGAGTCGATTACAAAAATTAATGATCCAATGGAAGGACCAGTACTTCACAACTGTTTACTGGTTCATCCTTGGCTTTACAGCTCGCCTATTATTTCATCTAAGAAGTTCTGATCTAGTAGAGAGGTATTTTATTAAATTCCGTATACATGCACGCTTTTACTTCTGTTTACAGTTAAATCTACCAGTCAGAGTTGCTCGCATTTTCAATACTTATGGCCCGAGAATGCAAATCAACGATGGTCGAGTGGTTACCAACTTCATTACACAGGCGCTGAATAATGAATCCATTACGGTAATTCTCAGTCATATTATCTTATTGACAAAAAATCGTGATTGGTTCATGTATTTTAATATTTATTATTATTATTGTTCCCTTCCTTGGGTTCCGAGTAGAACATCACCTCGGCTTTAACAGCACATCTTCACTTTACCCTATTCTCTGTGACATTCGTTAACTGGTCCCACAATTGATCGTAGTCTCTTATCTCCTCCTCGCAAGACCTCCTACTTTTCACCGTCAAAAACACTCCCAACTCGTCATTTCCCATTTGGGTCCCACTCAAGCTATGGCCTGTTGTGCGATGTCACCTGACGGTCTCCTCAGCGTGTGTCTAATCCATCTCCAATTTCTTCGGAGACTGGTTCGTTCTCAGAGTTTCTGATTGCTAACTCTTTCTAACCGGTCATCTGATCTCCAGTATAGAGCTTGAGAAAGCAGCTGCTGATAAAAGTCTTCAGCAGGTTGTTGGAAATGGTTTTGGTGCTGCACTAAGTTTCTGACCCATATAGAAGAACTGACTGACTTAACAGTGGTGTTGAAGACCCGAGTCTTATCCTCTGTGCTGAGTGAAAAAGATTTCCAGAGTGATGAAAGTCTGTCTTGGCCTTTCCCACTCTGATTTTGACATCCTCATCGCCGCCGTCTGCCCGTAATTAATACGATGCTTCCCAGATAAGTGACCTCTTTGAAATTTCTCCCGTTGAAGGTGATTGGCACATGCGCCGTTGTTGTTGGTTGACTGGCAATCTTAATCGCCTCCACCTTCTCAGTGTTCATTTGAAATCCAGTGTTTTTTGCCAGCCTCGTCCACCAGTTTGTCGGTTTTCCCCTGTAAGTCTTCGAGTTTGTGTGACATTAAACATAAATCACTCACGAAATCCAGATCTTCTAGAGTCTTCTTATCGGTCCAACGTATTACTGTCTCTACGCTCCTCACGTACTGTCTGTCGCTTGATTGAGTCCATTACAATTAGGAATATCATCGGTGACAGTAGACAGACAGCCTTGTAGTAGTCTTGTCTTCACCTCAAAGTCTCTGCTTAGTCTTCCTTTGTGGGTCACCTGATACATGGCATTGTTATGTAGTTGTTAAATGAGGTTGATAAAGATTTAGGGCACTCCACTCCATAGCCGATCCTAAGTCCAGGAAAGGAGAGAAGGTTGAGAGTGGGACTAGTGGCCCTACCCCGGACACAATCGGTACAGAAACTTCAAAGTGCAAGAAAATTACATAGTTCAAGTTCTTTTCAATATGAATAATTACTTTAAGAAATACCTTGGTAATGGTGAGATAGTTCTGGCTTGGTAGACTGTTAAGTAATGTAATTAAGTGAAATGAAAATCTGAATCTCATAAGGATTCGAATCAGCGGTCTTCGAATTACTAGTTCAACGCTATTTTGTCTGAATCACTGATCTCTGTTGATATATATCAAGGTGCGAGCTTCAAAGATTGTCAACTCCACAGATCCTGAACCTTGTACTGTTGTCAGAAGATTAATCTTTGCAACTTAGAATACACTATGTGTTGTAACTGACTCGAGAATATTAGAAAATAGACCGACCAATTCGGAGAATGTTTATTTCTTCACCGACAATAAACCAGGACTATGAATACACATCAGCATAAATCGAAATAATGCTATCGATTGTTTTTCTCCTGTCTTCTGCCAAGTAGTCTACGATGAGGCCATGACCGCCATTTTTAACTCCCGCGAAAATGGCGATCCATTTGAATAAACGAACCATATGCGTTGCTCATTCAGTGTTCATCAGTAGTGACAGTATATGTGAAATAAAGCGTTTATCACAAAAGTTCTCTATAATAGGATTATATTTGTACAAAAGTAGTTTCGAATTGGTTAGAATAGTCAATAATGATAATATGTATGTTTGTTTATTCGTTTGGATGTATGTTCTACTATTTTGACATTGACTAAACTATGATGCAGGTAATAGGATAATATATGAGGTCAATACAATAAGACAAATAAGACAAGCGAGAACAATACACCCGTATACAGCATGTCGGTAGGCTATTCAGTCTCCCTAGTGTTATTGTGTCTAAATATTAGTTGATTTTTTATAGACTTGCAGCATGCAGGTGCCAGTATATATTTGGGGTACCTAGCCCCTGTCGCATGCTCTGATGGCGTTCTTGTGACTTTTTTTTACCAGATCTGCCAAGGGCGATAGAAAAGTAGGTCGTGACCTAATGGTCGTGTGCAAAGTTTGAAGAAGGCTGTATGCCATATGCATGTGCCTTGCGCTGATCATGTCGACCTCGCCTAGTTTTCTAGTCGGTCCCAAGTGAGAGTAAAGAAGAAGCGTTAGGCATGGGGTTAGCGACCCTATCCCGGAAAATCAGTCGAACTGCTACAGAAACTTCAAAGCACAAGAAAAATATTAAAAATATATGAGACAAACTTATTTTTCTCTGGAATCGGAGAGATGAAATGACGCGGGCTGGTGAAAGTCTTCGGGAAGCCAGTCAGCCAGCCGATGTGTCTTCTCTCGATGAAAGCAAGAATAAGAATGGGGGCGTGGAATGTACGTATAATGTACGAGGTTGGCTGGGAAGGCTGCCCAGGTAGCCAAAGAAATGAGATGATGCTGCGTGGAAGTGCTGGGAATCTGTGAGAGCGGATCGAATGGATGTGGACTGTCAAAATTGTTAACTGGCGAATCAGTAATCTACTCTGGTCACCCAGACGACACCCACGAGCACACTGAGGTAGTGATAGGCTATCATGATGTCACCGGTTGCAACCAGAGCCCTTATGCGGTGGGAACCAATCTACTTCTCTAGGGTTATGACAGAAAGATTCAACTCAAAAGGACAGAAGGAAGGTCACAATTATCCAATGCTACAAACAACGCGGAACAAGAGAAGATGGAAGATTTTCACAGACAACCAAAACCAGTAATGGACAACATCCCAAATGGTTACATCAAAATCCTCATGGGTGATATGAATACCAGCTGAACTGGGAGCAGATAATACAAGAAGAGAACTCATAATTGGTTGACAGGCACCCACCCGGCGGAATGAATGATGGCGGTATACATATATATATCACTTAGAGGACCAGAGGAAAACCTGGGAGTACCGGACAACTGTCTCTTTTTCACCACTACGAACCCCCCACTGGTGTTCGAACCCAGGAAAACTCGTAGACCATTCAGTCACTTAAGCCCAATCCAATGAACAGCCCATAAATCCCAACTTCTGCTAATTCGCGATATATATAACGCAACCGTCAGCCAATTTCATATGCGAGTAACTGTTCCCCTATCTGACTCGGTGGACCGTTGTGGTTACGACTGCCCACTAGAACCCAATATATGCAATAATAATGGAGTTTTTCCAAATAATGCTTTTGGTACGGTGTAAAATTCTCATCAGGTGTAGAATGTAACACTGGAGCATAATTCAGGGAATTGTCTAACACTTGACATTTCAAAAATTAATGAGAGGACAAATACTCACCGAAGACATTGGCTAGTGGTCGCGCTACGTCATGAATTGGCAGAAGTTAGAATTCATGGGCTGGTCACTGAATCGGGTCCCAGTGGCTTAATGGTCTACGAGCTCGCCTTTTAACCGGTAGGTCCTGGGTTCGAACCCCGGTGGGTGCGTACTGATGAAGAGTCCCAAACTAGGATGAAACAGCTATCCATTACTTCCTGCAGGTTTTCCAATGGTTCCCTAACCGATGTCAGCTCATGATGAAATCCTGTAATCAATCAATCAATCAAATCCTACAAACCAATACTTGAATATTGATTAAAATTCACTATATTTTTATTTTTAATTCGAAAAAAATTTGTTTTGTTGTGCAATTTAGGTTTATGGTACTGGTCAACAGACACGTTCATTTCAGTTTATCAGTGATTTAGTAGAGGGTCTTGTACGTTTAATGGAATCCAACTATACCCTGCCGGTTAATTTAGGGAATCCAGTTGAATTTACAGTGAATGAACTAGCCAGTATGGTGAAGAATTTCACCGGTAAGTTAAACTGTAAGCTAACTGTAATTGAAAATTAATGAATACCCAACCTATCCTTTTTTGTTTTGTTTGTTTTTTTCCACGCTTGTGTGTGTTGGCTTGTCTCTATGAATGACTGACTGGTTTCAACATAGAACTTTGCACAGATGTCCAACGGTCAGGGGTGCTACACTCCCTCAGTGTACCACACAAAGCAAGAGAACAGAGTAAAGAGAAACTCAAAAGAGAAATAATAAACAGAAGTATGAGTGAGGGAAAAAGAATAGTAAAATGGAAGAACAATAGAATTTTATTGGATATGATAAATCACAAAGACAGATTCAGCGAAGAAAATTTTCTTTATCGACGAAATCATCTTCCGAGGCTGTACAATCGTATTTATACTTACAAAAATATATAGTGGTCTATTATTGAGTAATAGGGGGTGACATAATTGATATAATTACTCAGAAGTGGCTTTAGAAGTGAAAATTAGAAGTTGAAAATTACGTGGTACTCGACGGCAAAAAGATAGAAATTTGATAAGGTTAAAATTGCTATTAAGTGAGAATAAAAGTATTTGAGTGTCAATTTAACAAGTGTGAAGAGGGTGTGAAAATATACAAAAGGAGCATATGAGAGTGATAATAGTGAATGAAATGGTCAGTACACAAATTTCCATAGCTGGGTCCCTTTGAGAAGAAAGAGAAATCTGATCCATTCCTTATCCTCAAGAATAAGGAGGATATGTTCAAGTGATACAATCGTTGGCGAACTGGAGCGACTCAGACAAGTCCTCATAGAGAATGGATATCCTCCAAGATTTATCGAGAAAAACATGAAACCAAGGGAAAAGCCTGAAAGAATACAGACGGTGCCGAAGAAACTACTGTTTATGAGTGTTGAATTTAAAGGTGATACCGCAGCTGAGATCCTGAAGAATCGCTCATGCAGATCACTGAGGAAAGCCTTCTTTATGACTGAGCTACGTATCAACTTCTACAGCCGACAAATGATCAACGGGTGTGTGAAGGATAAACTGCCGCTTTGGGCCACCTCAATGTGTGTTTATAAATTCACTTGCTCGTGTGGAGCTAGTTATATTGGCCGCACAAAGCGCGCGCTTTCCAAACGCATCTCTGAGCATTATCCGGCATGGTTAGCAAAGGGACAATGTAAGACAATTACTAGCTCAATTCTCGAGCATTTGGTGAACTCAGGCCACGTAGCTCCACCAGAATCGTCTTTCAAGATCATATACAAAGTGAAGCCAAATGGTACAAAGGGCGTCAGGTTCCGGCTTTTGTGTATGGTGGAGGCTCTAGCAATTCATCAATACAACCCTGAACTCTGTATACAGAAAAAGTTTGTCCAGTCTCTTATTCTACCTTGGTCTTAACCTCTTCACTAATCGTTCCTTGTAAATAAAAAATTTTTTGAGTTTTTCTTTTCATTCTAATTTCACTTTTAGTTAGCTTTTGCTTTAATAATTAATTCACTATTATCACTCTCATATGCTCCTTTTGTATATTTTCACACCCTCTTCACACTTGTTAAATTGACACTCAAATACTTTTATTCTCACTTAATAGCAATTTTAACCTTATCAAATTTCTATCTTTTTGCCGTCGAGTACCACGTAATTTTCAACTTCTAATTTTCACTTCTAAAGCCACTTCTGAGTAATTATATCAATTATGTCACCCCCTATTACTCAATAATAGACCACTATATATTTTTGTAAGTATAAATACGATTGTACAGCCTCGGAAGATGATTTCGTCGATAAAGAAAATTTTCTTCGCTGAATCTGTCTTTTATTTTCTTCAAATCACAAAGAGTAAATGCATCTGCGCTATTTATTGAAAACGAGGATTTTGAGCCATATCACCAATTGTCTCCAGCCATTGGTTCTTACCATTCTGAGGACCCCAACCAGGAAGCCAATCTAAACTAACTGTTATGGATTTCATAGATTGATGAAGCCATGTTTTGGTTTGACTACCACTGGCTCTTTTCCAACCTAATCCTATATAGGTAAAATTGGTCATCATGGAAGGCACTCGCTAGGCATGGATAACACATGTCCTAATTATCTCAGTCGATGTAACTTCACAACCTCATCGATCGATTTTCCCTCCTTACTTAGCACTCAATCGAAGCCTAATCTCAATATTACTCACCCACTTAACAGGGGAGATAGAACGCTGACAAATTTTGATCAGAGACACCTAACCTTTTCATGCACTTTCAATGGCCATAAAGGCGAACGGATCGGACTGCCTCTGTGCAGTACATACATGATTTTGGTCAACAGCCGGATATCATGTTTACGCCAGAGATGGAGTAAGTTGACAAATGTCAAACGAGCCTTCTGTGTCCGTGCTGAGATTTCCTCAGTTAACAACCCTCTGAAACTGATGCAACTTCCCAAATAATAGGTGAAGTAAGTGGTCAACACGCTCTACCACTTCACTCCTGACTATCTTGAAGCCAGCTAGTAGTCAGTGTTGTCCAGTCCTTTTGCATCACCTTATATGTGACAAGAGTGAATCGCGTGCCAAGTACACTAAGGTTGCTGTTTAAGGTGTTCGGAAGACTGCACATTTCACTAGTGTCTTCACCTAGGAGGATTACAACATTCTCATATTCTAAATCACTGAGATTAATCCCTGGTAACAAATCAGTCTCTGGATCTCTGAAGTCTGTTTGGGTTAAGTCCATTAGTACATTTATGATGAAATTGAACAGAAATGGGGACAGTGGGCATCCCTGATGGATACACCACTGGTTATCATCAATTTAGATGACAAGTCTCCGTAGGCTCTTACCTGGTTGACTTCGTGAGTTCGAGTGAGTAGAGTACATTGATCAGTGCGATATACTTCCTCGTCACTCCCTTCACTGCCAAACATTTCCATAATACACCTCGGTCAACCTATTCGAATTCCGTCTTCACGTAAAGAAATATGGCAATTGTTGGACACTGGTAAGTAAGTATTCCTATGTTCCAGAATATGTCGAAGAGTGAAGATACGATCAATGCATCCTCTACCTGCTCTAAAGCCTGACTGGTTTTCTCAGATTTCTTTCTCTCGATCACCACTTAATCTACGTATGATTCATTGATTATTCAGCCTAAAATTTTACATACCATATTAGTCAGGCAGCTTATCCGCCTTTGACTATCACAAGAAGACATGTCTCCATTCTTGTATACTGGGATAACCAATGACTTACACCAGTCTAACTGGCCTATCTCTGATCTCCAGACATTGTCTAATACCTTAGTTAACCCAGTCAGTAAATTGTCTCCTCTGTCCCAAAACACCTCCGGAGTCATTCCCTCAGGTCCTGCTACTTTGCCTCATCTTAGATTAGAGACAGCTTTTGTAACCTCAGTTAGGGACGGGAGGACCAATGCCTGTGTGTGTGTGTTTGTCTTCTGGTTTTCATCGTTTTACGAAATGCCTTAAATTTTTGCTTTTATAATCCATTTCGCCTATTTGAAACTAGAGTGTGTTTGTCTTCTGTCAGTCAATAGTAGAATTATTTCGTCAACTTTCATTATTGAAGGTGTTTGGTGGAGCTGCATTTGTACTTTTAATTTCATCTTCTTCTTCTTCTGAGGCTTTAAGATTCACGTGTGGGGAATTCCCATGTGAATCTTATAACCCTAACCATATGGCCCCATGGCCTGTTTTCTGCGTTCAAGGTAGATTTGCAGAGTTTCTATATTTAGTAAACTATTTTAAATCTACCCATGCCTCAATATTTATCCTTTCCCTTAACCATTTTTGTGTGTTTGTGAATTTATTTTTACTTCTTTCTCCTTTTACGTGCAGTTCCACCTTTTTGGAGGACTTCATTGTTCTCCTGAAACACCTTCATAAATCAAAAAAAAAAAATAAAGCGCACTTTTATCTGCCCATACTACTAGCTTCTACTGCTGTAGTCTGCGGAACTGTGCGTACAGTCAGTAGAGTAATCTTTAAGCTGATAGCGCATTGTCAACCAACCCTATGGTAATTACTTCTCCTTTTTTGAAATTAATGGAACTATTACTTTTCCTCAACTTTCAACCTTCCTAGAAAAGTTTCAATGACTCCCTAAACACTTAGCATATAAACAAGGCAGAAGTACTTTGGTTGATGCTGCTGCTGTCTTACATCGAAATGAGAAAGGAGACAAATATGTTCGATTTGCTGCCTCCCATGACTACACATCCGCTTTTGACTCTGTGCCCAGATGCCTTTTGTTAAATAGGCTTTCCTTCACACAAACTAAGTTGTGTTCTGTAAACTGGTGGCATTTTTACTTATCGAGCAGAATGCAGTATACTGTATGTGTGCGTCGGTGGCACAGTGGTTAGGACTCTCGCCGACCATTCACGTGATCCGGGGTTCGATCCCCTGCCGACGCACACCTGATATCAATGGTCGACCTGCAAAATTTGGGCTACCAATATTACATGCTGAAAATTTCATATTTGTACCAAAAGTGCTGTATGCAATCAAGCTATAATCAAAGTGGAAAGGCAAATTTCTGTCTGTCTGTTTTCGACATAGAACTTTCCACATATGTGCGGCAGTTCAAGTCGCCAAAATCCCTCTTTGTAGCACACAAAGCAAGAGAAGAAAGTAAAAGAAATACACAATAGAGACAGTAAACAGAGATATGAGGCAAAAAGAATAGTAATAATGAAGAAAAATATAGTTTCATTGAAAATCACAAGGAGTGGCTGTATCTGCATCAGCGATTGACAACGATTTTGAGCCATGTCACCAATGGTTGGAAACAATTGGTGCTGCTACCTTGACGTGGTGGTCGGGCTTGAACACCGAAATGACCCAACAAGCTATACTGGCTCAGACTTATTTCGCTTGAAGTCCTACCATGCCAGAAAGGTTGTTTGGATAGCGGTTAGACAAAAAGCAGTTACTCAATCCAACACTATGACTCGATCAAAATCACAAAATATCATGCCTGATCGGTCGGGGCCCGGATTAACAACGACCGCA